TTTGTAATTCTTCCAGCACTCCAGCCCAAGATCATCCAGTGATATTCAATTATTGTATTATCACACTGATCCACCTGTATAGAAATTACACAAGTAGCCATTTACGTCCAAATGCTGAAAAGCATTCTTGGCTTTTCTCTTTAAAAGTTGGCATGATGTATTTCGTTCTAAGGGTTCATATATGAACATGAGAAACTCCATTACTTGAGTACATTCACCAAGGTAATTGGCTATATAGAGTATGGTGGTATCACAGCTTCCAGTGAGTTAGTATTTGTGGCCCCAGCACCAGGGGGGGAAGCGAGTGCCCATGGCCAAGAGTTCCTCTATATCCAACTAAATACTAGCCCAGTTTACAGTTTCAGTTGAAATAACACACACGCACACAGTGTTCTCAGAAAAGTGGAATAAAATTGGCCACAACTTTATTGGTTACAACTGTAGTAAGCCTTGGCACAGCATGGATACCGAATCCAATTCATCAACTGATTGACTTGCCAGTCGATGATCTGCTGGTCACGTTGGGATGACAGGTCTCTGGATCCCACAAGGGCAGATCCCCCACAGTGGTCTCCCCTGCTGGCTGGGTGTGAGGGTAATCCCCGGACATGCCCCCAGGCTGGGTATAACACTTGACCATCACCCAGGATCCCTCAAGGGGATCCCCACACACTCAGGAAAATGGGCACACAGTCTAGCTTTCCTAAGAATGGATCTGGCCCCATGCTGATACCACCACAAGAACTGGGCCTCCAACAACTGGCTCCCGCCAAAGCTCCGACAGCTGTAGCCAAGTGCATAGGGCATCCCTAATGCTATGCAGCCAGATAGCCATACCTCAGTCAGATAAGTGAACCCCATCAGGGCGAAACAGGGTAACCAGGCATATTTAGATGTCCAGATGACAAATCCAGCGGCCTCCCATAGCTTCCACGTTCCTACATAGCTACTTGATCTCCTTCTGCCTTGCCAATTTGACCTTGTTCTTAGAGCATGCCCTTCACCAGCTACGGTGCTGCATCCAATCTGATCAGAAAAAAAGTTACGGCTGAGATTTCCTCCATCAATATACGTAGTAGATCCCAGTGCACCAAATCAATGCCAGAGGGGGCCCCCAAGTTCTCATCAAGTTGTATCACCAGCATGTCAGGAGGTCCATGGTTTACTAAATGGGACTGTACCCAAGGGAGGAGGGCATCCCATTTCATCCCTTGCTTGCCCAACTAAGTGATTCCCAACTTATCTTGCAGGCCAAGGTCCCTGCCCCAACTCAATGTGGCACCAAGAGCAACCAATAGGGCTGGTGTCAGGTTGGGCGGGCCCCAGCTTCCCACGCTTGCCACTGGCCAACCCCCTCCATCTGGCAAGGACCGGCTTGGCCACCCCTGATCTATCTCCCCCGGTGCCGCAAATAGGACCTGGGTGGGTCTGGGCCTCATCTCGTATCAAGAGTTTAACTCTTTTGGGTTCATTACATATAGTAGGTATAATTTTTTACACAATGATGATGACTATTCTCATCTGCACTGCCATATCTACCTTGCACATTAAAGCAATATGGCAAATATCTGTCTTCTTTTTTCTCTTTCAGGGATACCTTGATAGTAACTTGTACCAACAGTGCCACAAGTATATTTGCAGGCTTTGTTATTTTTTCGGTTATTGGCTTCATGGCAAATGAGCTCAAAGTAGATATTGAAGATGTTGCAGACCAAGGTATGATTGTTTTTCTTGCAAGTCTAGCTTACTAACAAAGTGATCCTGAGTATGTTTATTCAAAATGAGTTCTACTGGTTCTCTTATTTCCAAGTACATGTGTTTAGGATTGTAGCCTACTTGTGCAGCTTGGCACAAGAGCATGACTTGTTACCCAAATGGCTTACATCTGAATGTTTCTTGACTATAGAAGTACCCCCTCTTATGTGTCAAGCACACCTGCACACTTGGGTCCTGGGATCTACTGCCTGATGTATACGGGTTTGTATAACATTCAATCTTTGCAGGGCACAGCCCCCAACCTCTAAGAAAGATGGGGTTTGTTTAAGTTTTTGTTCCAGGTTCAAAGTGAAACCCTGTATTTCCCAGCCAATGAGCAGCGCAGTAATTAAATTTTTTAGAATCTGACCACTATAGTTTTGATTAAACAAAACATTAAATAGATACACAGAACACTGGCATACCTCACAGAAATCAATGCATATAAAGATACATCTTATTCTATTTAAGTTGATTTTTAGGAAAAATATTAATTCTCAAAGCTTCTTACCAAGAGCTTTGCCAAAAAAGGGGAAAGCAGATTTCACTGAATTCCAGATCTGAAGGATTCAAAGGTTATAGGGTATGGCTAGCTTACACAGAAACGATTACTTAGGCCAACACACGATGACCGTACTAAATTTTGCTTTTTTCTGCTACCATGCTGGTTATCATAAAATGCTTGTATTTAAATTGTTGCTTAGATTTTGAGCTAATACTGTAATAGGAAAAAAATGCCTGTTTTTACTTTTCTATTTGTTGAAATTGGGCAGTTGCCCTCCTGTCAGGCTACCTCTTGGAGGACAGAAATTTTGCCTGTCCAATGGAGATTAATATACAGGGTCACTATCTGGGGAGATTTTTATTTTCTTTAATTAAATTATCCCATAGGGTATGATGAATGTTAGAAACTCATTATTTTGACTCCTTAATTTAATTACTAGATTGAAGAAACTAGTGCAAACAGCCATCTTATCTATAGCAGCCAAGACAAAATCTTTAATCAAGAGATGAAAGCACGCTCATGAATATACAAGGTCCCCTAAGCTTTCCTACCCAGAAAAACTGCCAGTTAACAGCAGGTTTTAAAGAGAGCTGCCTGAACCTCACCAGAGCTTTCAAATGTTTTAAACCAGCCATAGTTTTCATGTTTGTTATGGATTTCCCAAATATTTTGCAAACTACAAAGTGAAATTATATATATATATATATATATGATAAATGAAACAGTAAAGGGAACAACTGCCTCTCAAAGAAGCATATCCTACATTTCAAGACCAATTGAACAAAGTTGTGGCATTATAAGTCTAGTTTCTAGACCAGTAATCCTCAATGTGGTTCCCAGGGACCTCCATGGTATTGACTAATGTGTTTCTGGGTGCCCACTCACTTTTTGAGTCTTGGGGATAAAATCAAGTTTGGTGTAGTGGTTAAGAATATTGACTCTAATCTGGGAGAACTAGGTTTAATTCTCCACTCCTTCACACGCAGCTGGTGACACGACCTTGGGTCAGTCACAAGTTGTTTCAGAGCTGTTCTCTCACGAGCAGTTCTTGAAGGAGCTCCCTCAGCCCCATCGACCTCACAGGGTGTCTGTTGTGGGGAGAGGAAGGGAAAGGAGATTGTAAGCCACTCTGAGACTCCAAGTGAAGGGTGGGGCATAAAGTCAATCTCTTCTTCTTGAATGGTACTGTAATGTATCCATCTCCGACCACGAGCAAGATGAGGTCTCCACGCGGTCATTAGAAGCGCCTGAGCTTCGCTTCCAGAGACAATGGCCCATGCGGCTCCTAGCCTGCACCACTCAGAGGGCTAGGCTTCCGCCTGTGAGCCTATGGAACTCTCAGCCACGGTTATAGCCTATCACGAGTGTGGGGTGTGTTTGGGTGTGGGGTTTGTTGCACATATAAGCCGGCCTGCGAGCTGGGAATTTTGTCTTGTTCTTTCCTGAAATAAAGTATGAGAGCTGAAATCACTAGTAAGTCTCAGTACCTTTCAGGTACAGAAACAAATCGGGAGTTTTGGCTTACTCTTTGCCAGCTGATAGACAAGCAGTGCACTAAGCTTATCCTTCATTTGGCCATAGACATAGGATTGGAAATCATTCCATGTGGCCATGCAGAGAGCAAGCTTCCCCCCCCCTTTTTTGGAAACAGTGGGCTTTTAAGCTTGGATTTTTTTTCATTGGTTCTGGCCATATACTGCTTTGGTTTATCTTGTGATTTCTGCATACATTTTTGTGCCTTTAGTTTTCACTTTGCTTTCCCCCTGCCCGGTTTTTCTTTTCCAGTTCTTTTGAGACTATTTTCTACCCCAGTCTTTTTTCTGGAAGCTGTTTTTGACTCAGCTTTTCCCTCATGCATAATTTTTTGTTGTTCTTTGTCCTGCTCACTCCCACCTACCTTCAGCCCACTTTTTGATGATTGGACTTTGGGGGCCAAACCATTCCCCCTGTCGCACACCCTGAAGTAGAGTAGGTTTTTTCTTTTTAAAAAGACCCTTAAATACCACCAGAGCATTGTAACAATAAGCTTATCAGGTTCTCTGAATTTCCAGCTTTAATTTTTTAAAAAAGAGAAACCTCTAGTTTCTTCCCTCAGGGAGATGTACCTTTTCCCGTATATCTCTGCAGGGAGGTGGCTAGAGACGTAGTGATTTTTAAATAAAAGCTGGGAATTCAGAGAACCCTGCTAATCCTATTGTTATGATGCTATAGGGATATATCAATATTTGAGGGCCTTTAAAAAACAGGGGGGAGGTGCTTGCCACCACCAATGACAACACCGATGACAACAGCACCCTCCTTTGAAAATGCTCATAATTAGCCCTGACCTGGATAGCCCAGGCAAGCCTGATCTTGTCGCATCTCGGAAGTGAAGCAGAGCCGACCCTGGCAACTACTTGGAAGGGTGACCTCCAAGGAATACCAGGGACGGGGACGCAGAGGCAGGCAATCAAGCCACCTCTCTGAAAATGTCCTAGCCCTACTAGGGGTTGCTAGAAGTCACCATGACTTCCAGGCTTGCAAGCACATACACATACATATGCACACATGCATGCCACACACACACAAATACTCACCAAAAAAGGAAATGCTCATAATTGAAGGGTAGTGTGGAAGGAAATAAACTGTCTCCACAGCTGTGAAAATGCACGGGGAGAGCAGACATGCCGATGAACTGTGCCCCGACCAATTCCAGTGCTTGTGGACCGACTCCCAAGAAAATCAGGAGTAAGCTGAGTGTGTGGGAAAAGCCTAGAAAGCATACAGCATTTCTTCTCCGAATCAGAGAGTTGATCCTGGCTTTCCTCTGCCTCCTTGGAACAGGAATTGCTTCAGAAAATACCCAGAGGCACTATTTTTGTGTCTGCAGGGAGTGCTATTCAGAAGCAATTGCCTTAGTCACAGAGGGATGCTTGGCTTGGAACTTCCCAACATTTTGCAAAGCCTCGCAATATTTTGTGATTGCTTCACTCCCCTCATCCAGCCATTTTGTGGAGATGCCCACTGCTGGTACTCAAAAATCCAAAAAAGGTCCACAGGCTTAACAAGCCTGCGGCGGCTGCGGCAAACTTTGGCGATGTGGCCCTGCTTGTTGCAGGACCGGCAGACGGCATCCCGGAACCGGCAGTAGGTACAGAGGTCCAAATTTGTCTTCTTTAAGTTTGGAGGGGAGGAACGTTACTCTGTGACTAAAGAGAGCAAAATGTGGTGCACACCTGAATTCTACAATCTACATAATATTGCATTTCCCACTTGCCAGTTTGGTCCTTACTTTTGGTTCCTTAATAATTTCCTACACGATAATGTGTGTTATTGGTTAAAATAACAATAGCTGTCTTTAATTTTCCCACTTCTAGGTCCTGGGATTGCCTTTGTGGTTTATCCTGAAGCCTTAACCCGGCTTCCTCTTTCACCTTTCTGGGCTATAATCTTCTTCTTGATGCTTCTAACTCTTGGCTTGGACACTATGGTAAACTTGACTTTTCCATCTTGTTCTCCATTAAAACACCGGCTATCATACCTTCGATTAAAATTTTAGGCTAGAACTAGGATTGTCAGCCTTCAGGTGGTGGCTGGAGATCTCCTGGGATTACAACTGAGATCAGCTCACCTGGAGATCAGCTCACTTGGAGAAAATGGCCTTACTTGGAGAAAATGGCAGAATATGGCATTATACTGCATTGAAGTCCTTCCATTCCCCAAACCTCACCTTCCTCAGCCTCCAAACCCAAAATCTCCAAGTATTTCCCAATCTGAAGCTGACAGCCCTCTCTAGAGCCCTGAATACACAGAAAGCTTTCAGACAAACAGTATCTGAGGTTGGCCTTGGCACCCAATATGTAGCAGCAGGATCCTGTATTGAAGTTATCTTTCATATACAAGCAGCAGCAGAAGAAAACCAGTCAGGGGTGAATCTAGTAGATTGTTCTGTGGTAATGTTTATGAAGCACTTTGAAACTGTCTTACCTAAGAAACAATGGGGAATACGTCTGGGTGACCTTCACATGATACACTGCTGGACTTGAGTTGCAGGATCTTTTGGGTCTGTGTATAGATTAGTATGTTTGGAAGCTGTATTAAGAATCTATGGAAAAGTTCAGAAAAAAGAAAAAAACAACAACCACAATTGCATGCCTAAAACTTCTCATGCTGATCGCTATAGCATTATAGCCAGTGACTTTCTTTTTCTTTTTAACATATGATATGACCTAAGCTTGCTGGATACTTTTCCTGAAAGATTGCTCACTTATTCTGTGCAGCCCTGAAATGGCACATACCTTGTTCCTTCCTGTTTTCTGCACACAATAATTTGCATGATGTGGAATAATCTGTAAAGATGCAAGGTAGGCATGGTTTGATATGTGGAGGACCTAGTCTTAGGTTGAAAGAATGAATTAGATATTTTCATAGAGTTTACAGAATGAATATAGTTGTAGCAACAATACTGAATATGCCTTCCTTTCCCATCAAAATTTGAACGTTTGCCTATGACTCCTAAAATCTTATGTTGGGTTTTTTTTATGGTTCACAGTTTGCCACTATTGAAACTATAGTGACATCAGTTGCTGATGAGTTTCCAAAGTACTTACGTACTCACAAGCCTCTGTTCACTCTTGGATGCTGCATTTGCTTTTTCATCATGGGCTTTCCTATGATCACTCAGGTAAAAGCATTGTCAACTGAGCATAACTATGTACACTATGTATGTCTTATATTCTGTGTGACCATCCTATGAGATAAGGCTCAATCTTATGAAATTTTAAAAGAAATATGTAGGTCAAAATAAAATTTAAGTAGACTTAGGTATGAAACTTGATACTGCAGGATTTGACAAGTGATAATCATAAGGAAGGCAATTAAATGCATTCTTGCTCCACATTAACATTTCCATACCAAATCACCTTCTATAGAATATTACTTCTTAGACTGTAATTCACATTAGCTTTCAAATTTCTCTTTTGTGATAAATGCTATAATACCCAGTACACAGAATACAGATGTACAACAAACATACATGCACATAATGTTACTGAGGTGGAGCTTATATAATTAACCAGTCCACCCAAGTTAGCTGGGAAATGTGCATTATTCTGCCATAGGGTAAGGAGAATATTATATCAATTGCTAGTGTGTGGCAAAACGTGTGATAGATTATATGTGTATGAGCTCCAATTCTGGTGTGAAGCTGAATGTTCCACAGTTCCAGTCCATTGAAATGTCCTGTTTGGGGGTAGGGGAGGGAGCTGACCAAGGTGGTGGTGGGGGGGGAGAGGACAAAATGATTTACATGTACTCATCCTGCAAATGCTTGGAATGATTCCTTTATTTAGATTATCTTCTGACAGCTTTTTGACATTTCTGTTAGTAATGACTTGTTTTAATTTTAGGGTGGGATGTACATGTTGCAGCTTGTGGACACTTATGCAGCATCTTACTCTCTTGTTATAATAGCCATCTTTGAACTTGTTGGAATTTCATACGTTTATGGTAAGAAAAAAGGTGGATTCTGTGTACATAAGAGTATGATAATGAGTGATGCATAACATCCTGATTTTAAAAACAAATGACGACTTTGTCATCACCCTTTACAAATATAAAAGAGAAACTGATGACAGGCATAGAATTTCTCAAAGAATTCATTCAAATAAGAAAGTGTGGGTCTGTTTAGATCGCTCCAGCTGAATTGTGGTTATACTAGTGATTTGTTATCATTATTGACAGTGCTGAATCTATAGTGGTAGATTGCATAAAAGCAATGGTCTGGCATATCAACTGGCATAAATATTGGCACTCCATAAATACAGAGGTACATTTTCAGGCTCCAACCATGGCTTAGATGAGAATGAACTGCCACAGGGCAGACCAAATGATAAGGAATTAGATATTGGCTGTAAGGCTTTTGCGAACTATTTCACTCCGCCATGTCCTCCCTGCTACAGTTGAGACAGTAATGGAACTTGAGGCTCCATGCACGTTTTCTGGTCAAGTTCTGGACTATTTCGATCCACTCAGTCTAGAGGAGGTTGACAAATTACTCTCATCAGTCCACCCAACCATCTGTAGTCTTGATCCATGCCCATCATGGCTAATTAAAGCTGGCCGTGATGGGTTACGAGGGGCACTAAGGGGGATCATCAACAAATCCTTTATGGAGGGACTGTTCCCTAGTGCCCTAAAGGAGGCAGTAGTACACCCCCTTTTTAAAAAGGCATCACTCGACCCAGCGGAATTAGCCAACTATCGGCCAGTATCCAACTTACCCTATTTGGGTAAATTAATCGAGAAGGCACTGGTAAATCGGTTGCAGGGCTTTTTGGATGACGCCTCCATATTAGATCCTTTCCAGTCTGGCTTCCGACCAGGCCACTGGACAGAGACAGCCCTGGTTGCCCTCACAGATGACCTCCAGAGGCACCTGGATCAAGGCAGTATGGCAGTATTGTTGTTGTTAGACCTGTCAGTGGCGTTCGACAAAGTCAGCCATCAACTACTAGTCCACCGCCTCGCTGATACCGGGATTCAGGGGTTTGCCTTACAGTGGCTCTTCTCGTTTCTTCAGGATTGGAGACAGAGGGTGGCAGTTGGGGAACAACTGTCCGGAAGGCACCCACTATTGTGCGGAGTGCCCCAAGGTGCAGTGCTTTCCCCAATGCTGTTCAGCATCTATATGCGCCCCCTTGCCCAGATTGCCCAGAGACATGGACTGGATTGTCATCAATATGCTGACAATACCCAGCTCTATCTGTTGTTGTATGGCCAGTCAAACTCTAGTCCAGGAGATGTGCACCTGGCGTTGAAAGCCATGGCTGGTTGACTTAGACAGAGGTGACTGAAATTGAATCCGATGAAGATGGAGGTCTTGTGCCTGAGTTGTAGTGGTCCTAGATTAGGGATCCCTCTCCCGACCTTCTATGGGGCACCGTTGATGCCAGCACCAGAGGTTAGGAGTTTGGGAGTGCTCTTGGATACCTCCCTAACAATGGAGGCCCAGGTAGCAGCCACTGCAAAGTCAGCCTTTTACCATCTACGGCTGATTAGGCAGTTGGTTCCCTTCCTTGAATGCAATGACCTAGCAATGGTGATCCACGCATTGGTCACCTCAAGATTGGATTACTGTAATGCTCTCTACACGGGGCTGACCTTGTCCCAAATCCAGAAGCTGCAGCAGGTGCAGAATGCAGCGGCGAGGCTGTTGTTGTATCTTCCAATGTGGGAACACATCCAGTCCACCCTAAAAACCCTGCACTGGCAACCTATAGCATACCGGATACGGTTCAAGGTGCTGGTTCTTACCTTTAAAGCCCTTCATGGCCAGGGACTACTTACCTAAGGGACTGCCTTTCCCCACACGTACCCCAGTGAACACTAAGATCGGGTTCCCAAAGTCGCCTGGTTCTTCCGGGGCCTAAAGAGGCCAGGTTGGTCACAACGAGGGCCAGGGCCTTTTCTTTGGCAGCCCCTCACTGGTGAAATGAGCTCCCAGAGGACATCAGGGCCCTGCGGGACCTCTTACAGTTCTGCAGGGCCTGTAAAATGGAGCTCTTCCACCAGGCTTTTAAGTAGGGTGCCACTTTGATTTTATGGCTCTGGCCCGACTACCAGCTGTACCAACAGTACCAATGGTGCCACCAACCGAGGCTTCATAGCTGGGTGGGAGCTTGATGACACCATTCAGCTGACAGTTGATATTAGAAGATCACCATCTTTTATTGTAAGTTATGTTTATATAGTATGATTTTATATTGATTGACAGTTTTAACTGGAATTTGAATGTACATTTATTTATGTTGTTAGCAGCCCTGAGCCTGCCGAATGGTGGGGAGGGTGGGATATAAATGTAAATAATAAATAAATAAATAAACATTTGTAAGCGCTAGTAAAAAAGAATATAAAGAATTTGTCCATGTGCATCATTCTGACATAGGGTAAGGAGAATATTATATCAATTGCTAGTGTGTAGCAAAAAGTGTGGTAGATTATATGTGTATGAGCTCCAATTCTGGTGTGAAGCTGGAATGTTCCACAGTTCCAGTCCATTGAAATGTCCTATTTGGGGGTAGGGGAGGGGGCTGACCATGGCCATAGAGCCCGGAAAATCTACAACAGCTAATGAACTCCGGCCATGAAAGCCTTCGACAATACTCAATTTGTCCATGCCTGGAAGCCCTAACCACTTCAGTCTTTGGGGCTATTTGAATAATATTCATTAGGAAGCTTAAATGTGAGAGTGTATGAGTAGCACACAATTTTGTCCAGTTCCATTAATATCTTCATGCATTGTGATAAAAAATTATTTTTATTTGGTTTAAGAAAATGTTAGGATCTTGTTCTTCTCTCATAGAAAGAAACAAGTAACTTCTTACCTGTCTAATATTGGGTTTGGAGTTGAGAGAGGGCTTTTAGGAGAACAAGTGAAGGCTGCAATCCTCAGACCGCCTATTTGTAGAATCCTTTTACTGAGAGCATTAAGAATGCTGGCCATTGCTTAGTCTGAGGACTGCTGTCCTTCATCTTTCTGAATCTCACCTCAGTATCTGTCGACACACAGCTAGGATTACAGTACTGTTGTGAATATAAATCTAGCATTATCATGAACAGTTCATATGCATCTTGAGGTTAACAGGCCGAATATTCAGCATCAGAGATGTGTTGTCTACTATCATATTAGGAATTAAACACTAGCCTCAGCACCCTCGTTTTTCCTGTCTACCATAATTAGGAGATGTAGAACAGCCAAAATGATATCATTTATTGGACACACAGCGTTTGAATTTTACAGGACTCTCCTTTATATAAGAATGCACGGTATTCAGACATAACTGAGGAAACCAGGCAGTTTTAATAATTTAACTTTCAACATGATAAAAGAATGTAAGAAAATGGTGTACTACTTTTGTTAGTGTGTTCCATATAAACCTGCCATCTGTCCTCCCCCCCGTGTGCTAGAAATACCAAATTCACTGGGGATCTCTGGATGACCCTCTTCTACCTGCCCTCCAAGTCTGGTGAGGATTGGATTTACGGGGTCTGAGTTACACCCTCCCCAAGGTGCCCCAGGAAAGTGCTTTCTGAGGAAATGACCACCTTCTTTTTTTATGAACTGATTCATGCCCATCCCTTCTTTTTGACCTATTGGTTATAGGTATGAAGACAAACCAGAAAAATGTACTTTGTGTTGGTTTGTGGTTCATGACCAAACCATGAACCAAACCATGAACTGAACTGAACTGGGAGGTCTTTTCATAAACTTAACCAATGCACAGTTTGTGGCCCCACAAACCCTGTTGAAAGGGACTGCAGTCCCTTTCAGTGGGGTTTGCAAAAAGCTAAAAAAACAGCTGAGCAGTGGGAAGCCTGCTGCTCAGCTGCTTAACTTTAAAAGGGACTACACAAAAAAGCCTGAAAAACAGGTGAGCGGTGGGGAGGTGCTCCCTGCTGCTCAGCTGTTTCACTTTCTTGTGCTGTCACTTTAAATGACTGCACAAGAAAGTCTGAAAAACAGCTGAGTGGCGGGGAGGCACTCCTGGCCACTCAGCTGTTTTTGCAGCTTTTGCAGGGAACAGAAAGCTCGGATTTAAAGGGACTCAGAGTTCTATACAAGAACTGCCGTGAACTGCTTTAAAAGTTTGTGGAAGTTCGTAATGGTAGACCCCTCATGAACTTTGGTTTGCAAACCACAAACATGGCAAACTTCATGACAAATTTTGCTTCATGGTTCAGTTCGTGCCTATTCCTAATTGGCTCTATCTGGGAGGCTGCATATGTGCTGAGGACAGTAGGGCAGCAGCATCTTCCCACAAACCCCAGCCTCTCTCTGCATCAGAAACTGACTGAATGGTCAAGCAGAGAAAGAACAGAGTGGTGTTCAGTTTTCCCTCTTCTACAGGTGTCTTGCACAATGGTTATCTGCCCCAAGTTAAATGCTTTTGAGCAGGGGTCGTTTCGTAGAAAAAGAGCTAGGGGAACTCATTAGCATAACTCATTAGCATATGCCACACCCCCTGACATCACTGGAAGTGTGTCATAAGGCCACACCCCCTGACATCACCGGAAGTGTGTCATAAGGCCACACACTCCACCCCCAACGGTCCCGGCCGCCGCCGGCCTTGCAGCTCTACTGCTGAGCCCCATGAGGGGCCCGGCGGTGGACCTGCAAGGCCGGCGGGAGTGCAAGGAAGCCCCGCGGAGGCCCTCCCTGGCCCCAGGCAG